ATGCCAAACACTTGCATATCCAAGAAATACTACATAGTCAAGGAAAAAGGAAATACTGCCACAAGTATAAAAATAAAAGCATAGAAATGAATGACATAAGTTGTTCATTCCAAGAAACCCCACATTGCATTTGGTGGAAAAACAAATTTGTAGAAACAATCAAAACTACTGGTTATTAGTAAGTAGTGCAAAATACTATAAGAAAGTAACACGAACGAAATAAAGCACTTCAAATTGTTTCAACCTTATCAACCGATATCAGTACTAAGAACTCATATAAAGAAACGGAAAATCACAAAGAGAATATGAAGGTTTATTAAGTTTGCATACATTTTCTGTTGCTAAATATCCTACTCTATTCATAAGCTCTACATGATTTCAGACTATCACAAAATTTTAAAAGTTAGGACGAATCGAACTGTGATAAATGTATTCAATAAAACTTGCATATAAACTTTTATCCCCTTAGTTCAAAGTTGTAGAGAAAATAGTAAAGATATATGATGAAATAACAACTCTATTCAAGACTAAGAACACCATAAAGAAAAGAAAATGAATAGCTTTGTGTATATTTCATTCCTTTAGATATATAAATGTTCCACAAACTATGCAACTAATTCAAAGCACTTTTACGTAAACGTTAACCAAGTTTTTTAACGTAGAAGCAAATGCATAAAAAACACAGGATGTATTTGAAGGCGTTCATCATCAAAAAGCATTTCTACAACCTTAGTGAAAATGATGATTCTTCCCAGAACTAACTCTGCTTCAACTAGAAAAGTTTCATATGTTCTTGTTATAATTGAAACAAGACCGACAGTGAATGAAATCTAACATACCAGTTGCGTCTTTATTCCATGATAAGCCAAAACGACATAAGATAAACGTTTCGCTAAAGCCAATTGTTTCACTTCATGGAACCTTAACATCTAATCTACTAAGGAAAATTAAAAGAACATTTAGAAAACTGGTGGACAAATGACATGTGCAATGGTGGCTAGGATAAGAGTTAGCTAAAGGAAATCTAGATGTATGTGGCATTGGCTCATGAACCAAGGGACTTCTAGTTTGAGCACTATAGAGAAGTGAGTACTCCCTAACTAGGGTCCACGTGATTATAATTAGAGACCTACGGTGATATGATACAAAAACGCATAGCGAGAGAAACCCGCCCATTATTTCCCAACTATTAAACCTTAGTATCATCCCATACTTTTTTTAACCGATTTAACCAATTTTTCAAACTATTTTTCTTAGGCTTACTTTTAGTATTGTGAATTTTCCTCGTTTATGCTACTGTGGAGCGTTAGAACTTGAACCGATACTTACCTGTAGCAGGCCTCATGTCGTTTGATAACTGATTTAGTTGTCTAACTTTCGGATTGCCAGTGAAAATGGTTGCTTTTTCGTTCACTTTATGTAAACTCGTACGCCTATACCGTAGGACATTATTTCAGAATACTTATTCGTGATTGTTACCACAGAATAAGATAATAGGAACCTTTGGTTGTAATTTACTTGAACTAGGAACCGTAATCAGGATTAAAATGGAGAAATGCGAGTTTACCAGGTCTTCTTTGTCAATTCCAAGAGTACTTGGAAAGTTATAAACTCTGATGTACCATAAGAAAGAATACCAAAAGGTAGAGTAAAGCTAACTTTACACAACTTTACGCAACCTAGACTCCACTGCTAGCTACAGTCCATCTATTATATATGAACTTGTGAAATAATGGCTATATCAAAACAATACACATATTTCAACAAAGATTGACTAAATTTCAATAAAAATATCAACAACCGGATAATCCAAACCCTTTCAAACTAAACTAAGGCTAACTTTCGCCTTCCCTTGTTAGTATATTTTGTCAAGGTTTGCTAACCATAAAAAAGAAAGTCGGGTTTAATTTAATTTGAAACGGTTGGAGATTCGTGACCGGGGGCTTATGCGCCACGAAGGGTGACAAGCGTAAGAAACTTTATCTGGGCTGGGATTGAAATAGGTTGAAACTGTTCTATCCAAAAGCATCAGGTTGTTATCTGAATGATGGGTTCAAAAAACCACTAATCTAATATTTAGCACCTACGAATTTTATCTTTACAAAATCAACAAATGTGACTATGTAAGTTGAAATATTAGAGCCCATAGCATTCATATCTCGGTGTAATTACGGAGACCAGCTACAGATTTAGTTACTCAATATTTTAGTAAAAACGATGATCTACTGGTAAACGTACTATATACTTACATCCTTGAACTAACCAATCAGGATTAAACTCTCTATTTAAAGAGGACAGTAGTATCTGTCCTCGTCGAGTGAATCTTTTAATGTAAACGCTTCCTTATATTTATTTTAGTTGGAGTTTCAGCGACAGTAACATAGAAATCTTAGCCTTTTGTGTTCAGTGCCTACCACATTCAGAACTTACTAAATACTTATTCCATAAAACAGTTTTTTTGCGCTTATAGAGATTTTTTGTGTTATCTCTGTGAGCTCACCTAACAATTTTAATGGTGAAAACAAAACAAAGTTGTGGTATACCCACGTGCATCTTTCTAGTCGTGGATGAAATAAAATGTGACAGATGCAACAAGGGGTATACCAACGTAGGCCGTGGACCAACACAGGATGTATATAAAAGGTTATGAAAGCTACTATCACATTGGTTGTGCAAAGCATCCCGCTCTACGTAACGAATAACAAACATACAGATGTAGGCATGGTTACAAAAAAAGAAAAAGCATGCTGTGAAGAAACAAATTACAGGGAGGTATGAGATAAGTGGGTCGACATTTTTATCTGTGGACTCACATAGCAACGCAAAAGAAACTATGGAGAAACACAGCCGGAGCGGTGCAGGTGATGCGATCAAGAGGCATAACAAGGTCAATGATTGACTTACAGTTACACCCAAAAAAGTATGTAAACAGAGTGAGACCTGTATGTCTGATGCCAAATCGGAGTAGAGGGATGAGGAGAATTTAGGAAACAAAACCTCACAGCTCGTTAAAACGGATATCACTGATAAGTCAGTCATTTTTCATAAGTTGAGAGAACCTTCCGAAAAGGAAACAAAGTCTGTATTTGGACGTGATCTAAGCCACATTAAGTCGTTGATAAGCACGCTACTTCCAGAAACAGTAGAACGAGTTAGCACTTATAAGTTTTATAGAGCAAGATATAAAGTAGATTTTAAAATTACGCAGAAAAGCCGTATCTTAAAAGTTACATTTGCTTCTGCTGAAGATAGAAACCTAACACTAGAAAATTCAAGCAAACTGACTGGTTCCAGAATATATGTCTGTGAGGATCTTAGCCTGATTAATCTTATTCAGAGACGACCAGCAGAGGTGGAAATAAATAAGCACCGCCGAGATAGTAAAAAGTCCTCATACTTAAGGGTTTTCACATTGTAAAAGATCGAAGCGAAACTATCCCCAAAGCTGTGATATACAATTGCTTGTAGACAACAAAATAAAATGTCAAAGCTCAAAACAGTGGTGGACACAGAAAACTTTGATGTCATTGTCATCTCAGGAACATGGTTAACGTCAGAAGTGCATAACAGTGAAATCCAATTTCTCGGTTGCTTACTTTGCAGGCCAGATAGACTAAACCATACGGGTGGTGGGGTTATCCTGCACATAAAAAGCATCTTAACCATACGAGCCGTCGAGAAAATGGCACACGACTTAGGGACATGTGAACTGGTGCGCTACTGGATGAAATAGTCAGTAAGATATTGAATTAGTTGTAGTATACCACAGTACGGAATGTGTAGTGGATGATTTCCTCCTAGGTAAACTTAAATCCTGATCAAACAGGTGTAAAAGCCTTATAGTATGTGACTTTAATGCATCCTATATAAACTGGAGAAACTTAGAAGTAGGGTCATCAAAAACATCGTTTTATTGAAAATTGCCAGAAACCCTTCAAATGACTCATACAAGAGATTTTACATCCTCAAAAGCTTACCAGAAAAGGCCTTCTGTCCTCAATATACAAATATGGATCTGAATTAAGATAACATCTTAGTTATTTTGCTCACAGGTTAAAGTATAGTGATATATAACGTGTGTGTTATCATTAACTAAGTGAAAATTGGCAAAATTTGGTTCTTAAAATGTTTGAAATCAATGAACAGATTTATTGTTCACTAATAAAGTGTATTACAGATAGTGCTTAAGCTCAGTTGCATGACATAATGCTTCTAAGGGAGATTGAGTATTAAAGTACTTAGTGTTATTCATCATGTAGTCAAGAGTGTTAAGTGAAGCTAGAAAATATCTACCCTTTCTTATTCTTACTCTAAATCTCAAGCCCAAGTACCTGTAGTTTGTAAACAGGAAAATGGCAAGGTTATTGTATTATACTTGATGTCAGTTTGTGTTGAAAACCCAGACCCCAAAATGCCCTGGTATGGCCGAGAGCAAGGTGGGCCCGCCCTCCCTCTCTAAATGCTCTCACATGGCCACGCGTATACAGCCTCTGCCAGGGAAGTCCTACTCACTGCCTTCTCGTGGCGGGGGTGTTGTCTACGAAAATGAGAGGACGAAAAGCGAATGTCCGGCGTTTCAACCGGATTCCAAACCAATGGTGCACATGGGCTCCAGTATCCTGAGGAAACAAATGGCGTATGAACCAATCGCTGGTCACCGGCTACCATGGGACTGCATCGCCTCACGACGCTACACTGCCTTGTGGGTCAGACCTTTAGGTCGGAGGTTCCGGGTGTCGCTCCCTAAGAAAACCACCTGCTTTGGTCCGAGAACCCAGGCAATGTCACAGCCCACACACAAACCAAATGAAGTTTTTGTGTGGCGCATATGTATTTGGTGCCCCTTTGTACCAATATTTATGTGTTCAAACAAATAAATCTATCTTCAAATAAAACAACAAGTGACGTGAAGCAAGTAATGTTTTTCATGTACTTGGATTTTTAGCTGACATCGGAGTACCTTACTAATACTACCGATTCATGTGTGCAACAGAAATGTATTTATTAAAAAGTAACAATTTATTTCATTACAGAGAAATCTGTACATAAATAAGGAATAAAAGCCTTCACCAAAAAACAGTCATTCACTTCTAGAATGTTTATGCTTTCTTTTTGGGCGTTTATGTAACTTCTTCGATTTGTGTTTTTTCTTATGATGACGGTGATGATGATAGTGATCGGGGGTGGATGATCTACTACTACTACTTTCTGAAGACCCTGTGGTCGAGTGCTTCCTAAGAGGAAAATAAGCAAATAAAATGAACCCAAAATACAAGCTGATTTACCGCTTTGACATTTGTTTCTTCTTTTTCATTTTCTTTTCCTTCTTTGCAGCTAGAATGAAGTAAGAATACAAAAAACAATGAACCACGATAACAAGTTAGGGGTTTTCAAGAGCAGGCTAGCCAAACAACAGTTTGCATTGATGATGGGCGCGGAGTTATTTGAAAGTAGGCATTTTAAAGCTTTTTTGCAATAATGAAATACAAGTGCTCAGATTTTGAACAAACTAGTTTAAGTGGTTTGACAGTAGCATAAATGCTATAAAACTTGAAAACTGTAGGTTAATACCTTCTTTACGAGGGGATGACTTTACGAAAAAAAAGGACAAAAAGCAAACTTCTAGCATTTAAACTGGGTTGGTCAATAGAGGGCCCATTTAGGAGAGTTAAGAAAATCCTAATTCCAAACTGACGATAAACACGAGCTTCATGACCCCGAAGAAATGAATGACGGACGAGCTTACTTTATTTACTGGCTACCATGGGGCTTCATACGATGTCGTTTTGAATGAATTTATCTAGCATTGCTTCACATCCTTATTCCGTTTAATTTTTATCCTATGTTATCGAATACAAAATCTGATACAACTTTTCTAACGCTGCGTGTGCCATCCGAACTTGCTTTCGTGAGCGTTTGGAATCTCATGCAGATTGAATAAGGCCGACTAATCATTCCACCAAAAAGTGAAGACTAGCAGTGGAGACGTTTGGATTGCGCTATGAAAATAGTGGGTCGAGTAGCTTGTTTAAAAGTTCACAGAATGATGTAAGAAACTGCTTTACTGAAGTGAATACTGTAATTACCAAAACTACTTCCAGGGATTGTCCAGATATACTGAGGGACTCTATGCATTTCAAACTAGAGGCAAAAAACGTTATTTTAAACTATTCTCAAGATGGTTTAAGTAAGAAAAAATCTGCAAATTTACTGCATTTTCGTTTTATCGCTGTACGGTGATTTAAGCCACCTTATTAACCTAATTGGCTGTGAATCAGTGGTTTTAAACCTCGGACAACAATACTTCAAGAAATTGGGACGAAAAATCCCACTGCAATAATCTACTAACCTATCCGTGGTATTTGTACTAAATGACGATTGTTTTGTACTTGACTACCCGCTGATTATGAATTCCAAATATAATACGTTCATTTAAGCTCGCCTAGAGTTCTACGTACCTTAAATTGTACTATTACGAGGATTCTTAGTTAGAATATCAATTCGAATACTTCTAATTATCGTATTTGCGTCGTGATGGAGTCAAATCTTGGAAAGTTAGATACTAATTCAAGTGGGGATGACTTTGAAGACGACATTAAGCGGTTTGAAATCTGATACATAACTAGAAAAGATATTTAAAATGGTAAATTCACAGCTTATTTCCTGACGTTTATTGACAAAGGAGCCTATAACCTGCTAAAGAATATGGCCTTTCCAGAGAAACTAATCTCATTGTTATATGTATCTTTCAAGGAATTACTACTTGGTCGTTTTTCAGTGCTAGCTTTGAGTGCAGAAAGAGATCAATGCGACTTTATACTTAAAGTACAGAATCAGGCCACTAAGCGCAATTTTGGAGACCAATCGGAAACTCAACTTCGTGATCGATTGATAGTTGGGATAAATATTCCGAATTTAGAAAATAAATTCAAAAGCCCGAAAGTTTATTCTAAGAAACTGACACACCATGTATTAACTAGGAGACAGTAAATGAGCTTGATTTCCAGTCAATGAAAGTTTTCAATACTTTACTCAGTCATCGTGATGAACTAAATTCTCAATGTCGCTCAAGCTTGCGTTTGTTTGATAGTTCCCTACTCTCATGGAAATATGAAACGCTTGATAACTTGTTAACTATGGGATCGAAGTGCGGAGAATTACACAACTCCATAGCCCTCTCATTTTGATCCGCAAGCAAGAAATACCAAGATCTAGAATACAAACGTCAATCATATTACTGCTGAAAAATTCAAAGATCCTAAGAGGGGAGTAAATAGTTTTTCAGTGAAGAACTGCCAGACTGTACTCAAAAGAAACAATGATGAAATTGCTTGAGCGAAATAATCATCCAAGAACTGATTTTCCGCACTCCACGAAAGGTCTGCAAAAATGGTCGATAAATCTACAGTTTCAATACAAACCAGTCACAACAACCGAATATTTCAAGGGCCTAGTTGAGTCTGTTCTAATTCTCATTGTTAATCCTAATACTAATAAGTACATCCTAGATCCAAAACTTGTTATCCTAAATCTGGTTGGTTCGTTTATAAAATATAGTCTCGCCATCGTATCAACAACCGTTACTATATAATACCGCGATAGTCCTCTTAAGATTAAGAATCCTGCTGGCGCTCGGTTTCTTGTAATATTAAATTCTTAATATGACGATAAGTAGGCAAACAAAGCGAACCGATAGTAAAATGAGGAAATAAACATTTGTACACGATATGGTGTAGTGTAAACAGGTCAACGTACCCATTGAAGCACGTCGTAATTCTAAGGTTGCTACAATTATTTCGTTTTCATCAGACTGAGAACTAGTACTGCTTACATCTAGGACCACATCACCTGAGAAACCACCGTCATTACACAAATATATTATTAAGAATAGGTACAAGCAACAGATTGCAACCACTGCCGAATGAGCCTGTCCTTTAATGTAAGTTGGTTGCATAATGTTCCATGACCCGTCAAATATCACGTGACAAAGCCACCTATCAGAATGCCGACTTCTATTACCTCGCCCCTGTGCTAAACTGATGATGCGTCAGACAGCACTAGCAGCCTTGAATCAACCCTGAGTCCCTATTGGTACTTTTCATAGCAATTATCCACCTAGTTTAGTTCCTTCAGTCCAGAACACAAATATCAACTTCCACTGCGTGGATCGTATATTTCAGACATATAAACAGACCAGACCTCACCACACAAAATAATGAAATAATAATAATTGTACAAGATCATGCCAAAGTTAGCTGTGTGTGGGATACTGAAACTGATAAATTGGGTGGAAGCTAAGAATGGCAAACCACATCGCAGTACACAATTGGTAATACGAAAGCTTGCGATTAAAGAAATACGGATATATACATACACAATTTAATTATCCAATAAAAATATGTATGACAATAACTCCCAGCAGTTATCAATCATTTATACTACGCTCAGACATAACAGGTCGCAATTAAACTTGACGAGGATTGGTAAGCCGACCGATATTCAGTGACCTAACTACTGGGTTATCTGGCCAGCTATAATCATTGACATAATCCTTTCAACCAGCTTTATCCGTCAGAACCAATAAGGTCGATATCAAAACTAAATATCTAGGGCGATACTTATTCAGGGAAGTAATTTCTACATAACTACATTGTCTCATTCTTCAACCATTGTGTGGTATCACAAAAGTCGTCCCCTAACAACATAAATCTACGGACTTACTAGTGGTCTACCACTGACACTCGGCATCGTTGAATATTAGATTCCCAACATGAGGATAAGTAGGCAAACAAAGCGAACCGATAGTAAAATGAGGAAATAAACATTTGTACACGATATGGTGTGGTGTAAACAGGTCAACGTACCCACTGAAGCACGTCGTAATTCTAAGGCTGCTGCAATTATTTCGCTCTCATCAGACTGAGAGCTGGTACTGCTTACATCTAGAACCACATCACCTGATACACCACCGCGTAAATAATTGCGACATTGAAATGTTAAATGACCGGCTGTATCAGCCGTTAGTAAGTATGTTGCTGCTTACTAAATCCACATTTTTTACAGCCCGCTCGAAAGTTCGTCCTGGATTCACGGGGTTTAGCTGCAAAATTATTGAAATCAGAGGTGGTACACTTACAATCCATTTACCCTGCCGCAATACGACAGGCGTGTCACAACCTTGAAAAGCGGTACGAACTCTTCCCGAATTCCCGTTACACTTTTTTCAACAGAAGTTTGTTCCTTTGGAACAGATTCAAGTTTCAATATCCAGTATTTTTGTGACGAGCTAAGATGGTTCAGCTGGCTATGGATAGAATAAATGAGAGTTTTGTGTAGCGAACGTTTGTCTCTAGTAATAAAGTGACTAATTAGGCACCTTGGTGTTTGAAACAACAAACTCATATGGTTCAAATGGTTGTGGACGGAATAGAAGCTTTCGCTTAACAGGCTCCCGTGTCTAGTAGCAGTGGATCACCAATACCTCCAGGCAGAAACCTAGGTATGTTAACGATAAAAGAGGAAAACGAAATTGGTAAATCGTAGTATGATACTATTGTAGCTGCAAATAAATCCCCAAAATAAATAACCCTGTAAGTTTTCGATATTGGGTGCTGACCATATGTTTTAGTGGACTCATCTAGCTGAAGGCGCTCGGTTACGCATCCCCACCAGATCACGTGTGGTAACGCTGTGCTCAACATCTACCGCAATCGCTAGCCAGATTAGATGAGAGAATTCCGATATATTAGTAATCGCCAAATACACTCTTCCAATCTCCTCGACACTGTCATTTGATTTCTCTCGGTGGGTACATATTATATTAGGTGTTGCTGGTAAAAGCGTTGTCAAACACTGAATACCTGTGCCAACTTCATTGGTGAAACCGACGTGATCTGGCACACCTAAATGCAACTGTGAGTCTGTTCCTTTTTGGGATTTTTACATATTATTGCCTTATTTCTTAGTTTTTATACATTGTGGTACATTTTCCCCCCGTGTCTCAGGATATCTATATTTTTTCCTCGTATTCTCGTACTTAATATTCCCCTATGACCGAACAGACTCCTAAGGTATTTAAGATTAAGACCATGTCTCCACCCTCGTTCCAACTCATGCCCTTCTGGCCCGACAATATCGAAGCCTGGTTCTGCTACGCAGAAGCCGACTTCCACGAGCACGGCGTGAACGACACACGTGCACAATTCCTCGCAGTAGTCAAGGCGCTACCGCGCGAATTCAACAGGTATGTAACACCTAATATGTTTACTAGTGATGTTTCTGAACCTTATGAAACCTTAGAACGTTCGATTCTTAAACGAGGAGACCTAACCGATCGACAAAGGTTAGATCAACTCTTCAATAACATCGACCTGCAACACGGTTCTGCGACGGACATGTTGCAACGGATGAGAGAGGTTATAGGACCAAGAACTATCGACGAAGGTCTATCCAAACAACTCTTCTTGTCAAAACTTCCCCAACAGGTGCAAGCAGTTCTGGTCTCGTTTCAGAACAACGCCTTAGACGAGCTAGCTGCATCTGCCGACCGCATTTTAGAAATTACGAAATCTACTACCGAGGTATTTTCAGTCAAAGAAAAACCTCAAACGACTCAGAATGATATAAACGACTTATGTCACACACTCACGCGTTATCTTAGTCTTCGTACCGACCGTAAGAGATCGCGCACACCACGTAGAAGCATTTCCCGTAAGCGATCTGTCTCTAGACCACGAGAGACAGATAACCCCGACTGGTGCTGGTATCATAACCAGTATGGAAAGTTTTCCAGAAATTGCAGGAAACCCTGCAATTTTCCCAACACGAAACCGAGTGACTCGAAAAGCAATTCGGGAAACTTCCAAGCCGGCACGCGTTAGCGGAAACCGTAGCCGGCGAACAAAGCCGTCTGTTATTCGTCACGGATGTGACAACGAGAGTTCGCTACCTCGTCGACACTGGCGCAGAAGTTAGCGTTCTCCCAGCAAATCCTAACGAACGACTTCACGAATCGACCCTAAACTTACAGGCGGCAAACGGTAAACCGATCGCTACGTATGGCAAAAGGTACGTTTACCTTATCGTGGGTTTACGCAAACCCATTCACTAGATCTTCGTTGTTGCAGATGTTTCTATGCCAAATATTGGTATGGACCTTCTACAACACCATAATCTAATCATCGATACGTGCAAACGGAGGCTTGTAGACGGAAACACTAATTTATCCGTTTGCGTAACTTTTTCTGGATGCAGATTATCCCCAGTCACAATCAAGCATACGATAGACCCACTTTTTCAACCACTACTCGATACGTATCCTGGCATTCATCAAACGCAACCAGCAACGTTACACATCACATCACGACTACAGGACCACCTGTATTCTTTAAAGCACGACGACTAGCTCCTGAAAAGCTTAGGTAGGCGAAAAAGGAGTTCGATCACATGATAGACTTAGGAATCATACGACCGTCAAGTAGCCCATATGCATCTCCGTTGCACATGGTCCCTAAAAAGGACAGCAACGATTGGCGTCCAACTGGTGACTATCGGCGATTGAATGCAAAAACCATTCTCGATCGTTACCCGTTGCCTCACATTCACGATTTGACGGCTACCTTGAAAGGTACAACTGTCTTTTCGAAAATCGACTTGGTTAAAGCGTATAACCAAATCTCTATGGCTACTGACGACATACCGAAAACAGCTATCATAACTCCTTTCGAACTCTATGAATTTTTGCGAATGCCTTTCGGTCTAAGGAATGCTGCTCAAACATTCCAAAGATTCATAGACGACGTTTTTCGAGGTCTCAACTTCGTTCATGCGTATGTTGACGACTGCCTAATCGCAAGTCCGGACAGAGAAACACATCTCAAGCATCTGGATCTTGTTTTCGAACGACTACAAAAATATGGTATTACTGTAAACGTTCAGAAATGCCAATTCGGAACCGACTCATTAAACTTCCTAGGACACACTATAGATGCTGAAGACATTCGACCCCTTAGAACCAAAGTGGCGGCAATTCTGAATTACCCAGAACTGACCACCGTCAAGCAATTACGAACGTTTAACGGCCTCGTAAGTTTCTGCAGACGTTTCATACCCAAATGCGCATTACTTATGAAACCTCTGACCGACCAACTTCGTGGAAATGCGAAATCCATCAATCTGGACAACACTGCACGAAAAGCATTCTCCACAGTTAAGGAACTCATCGCTAAAACAACAATGCTTTCACATCAGGACACTCAAGCACCCATTAGCATCGCAGTAGAAGCATCCGACTCAGCAATCGGAGGAGTCTTACAACAGTGGGTTAACAACTCCTGGCAACCATTGGGATTTTTCTCTAAACGGTTGCTAGACAACGAATCGAGGTACAGCACATTCGGTAGGGAACTCCTAGCTATGTATTGTGCTGTACGGCATTTCCAACACTACATCGAAGGTCGTGAATTCACTCTTTTCACGGACCATAAACCGCTCACATAATCTCCAAGCTCTCCTTCAGACAAGTACTCTCCCCGTGAGTCTCGACAACTGGACTAAATTTCGCAGTTTACTTCAGACATTCAACACATCTCTGAAGCAAACAATGTAGTTGCAGACGCCTTATCTCGCATAACTTCTTTGAACAGTTTCCAAGTAATCGACCTTCTTAAACTCGCCCATCTTCGAAAGAAGACACTGACATTCAGCATGAGTTATCGTCCACAACACTTAAACTACGCATCAAACAGATGGGAACAGGTAAGGAAACCTTACTTTGTGACACATCTACAGGTAGGGATCGCCCAATCGTGCCGAAACATTATCGACGCAATGTCTTCAACACATTACACAAACTTTCTCATCCAGGTGTTCGTGCAACCATCAAGCTTATAGCAGAACGGTTTTGCTGGCCTGGCATGAATAAAGACGTGAGGGAGTGGGCACGCTCTTGTGTAATCTGCCAAAAATCGAGGTATTCAGACACAATAAATGTCCCTTAGGCTCATTTAAAACTCATGATGCTCGTTTCGACCACGTTCATCTGGATTTGGTACGACCTTTATCAGATTCAAATGGATACTCTTACCTCTTGACCTGCGTAGACCGTTTCACTCGATGGCCAGAAGCAGTACCTATCAAGGACATCACTGCTGAAACAGTGGCCCGCACCTTCGTCGAACGATGGGTAGCAAACTTTGGCTGCCCTTCAACCATCACTACAGACCGCGTACGTCAGTTTGAATCTGAACTTTTCCGTCGTCTGACCACACTTTTAGGAATCACTCGCTTCCGAACGACTGCCTACCACCCACAACCAAACGGGTTGGTAGAACGTTTTCACCGACAACTAAAAGCTTCACTTTCAGCCGCAAACGTTTCACAGTGGACCGACGCTCTTCCACTCGTCCTACTAGGTATGCACAATGCAGTGAAAGCTGACATTGGATAAACTGCGGCTCAACTGCTTTATGGAACGACACTTCGACTTCCAGGAGAATTCGTGGATCCTTCATCTTCTTCAATGAACATGGATCTAACCTCCTACACGAACCGGCTTACAAAAGCAATGCGTTCAGTTAAACCTGCTTCCACTCGACCTCAATCAACCGATGTTTTCGTTCAACTTGACTTACGATATAGTACACATGTCTTCGTACGTCGAGACTCGCATCGACGACCATTCGAATCAGCATACGAAGGACCTTTCAAAGTTCTTCAACGCGAACCGAAGTACTATATAAGTGATAAGAACGGAGCATCAGCATAAATCACCTCAAAGCAGCGTATTTAGAAGGAAATCCTATCTACGTCGATTTTCCTTCGGTACAATCGAACGACACGACTCCACTCATAATTCCTCAATCGACAACCAACACACGCGATGATACTCTGAATGTATCTGAAAACAAACTTAAAACGACGCGTTCTGAAAGAAAAGTTAGATTTCCAGAACATTTAAACGACTATTGCACGTAAGGCACTACTAGACATTTAATATTATCTCGATCTTTCTTTTTACGATATATAATATATTTAAAAAGAACAATTTTAATATGCTTATATGTTTTTATTTTTATTTAAAAAAAACATTATAAATTTTTTTAACGATATTACGTGTAAATTGGTTTATAGTCCAATTTTTTTCCTCGACATTGTGTTTTTACGCACATACGAGTGTATTTCGACATGCACTTACATTTTATTTTTCCTTATCCAGGACGGCTGCAAAAGAACGATGAAGTTTACGAAGAGTAAAAATTTTCTTTGTACT